ACCTGCTTCAGCGGCGTTCTGGATTTATTTCCTGATGAATTTACTTTACTCAGGGTTGCAAAGTCAGTCACGACTTTCATCTTGCTTTTCCTCTAGAAAAAGAAAAATAATAGTTAGTGAGTTACAACCCGTGGAATTTATTTATTTTGGCAACTCTATGACTGACTGTGTGACACAGGATTCATTGCCCCATGAACACCAATCTACTGCTTGAAAAGCATTCCCATATAAAACAGGAATGCCACTTACTTAAACAAGAGTTATTTATACCACGAAGCTGCTCACAGTGACAACATTTAGTCATGTTTTTAAATGTACCAATATTTATTGATACTCTCATGGAACAAACAGTAGCTACCAGTTTTGTCTTAAATCTAACCTCAACAACTGAAGTTTAACATGGAAACATAACATTTCTCACAATAAATGATAAACGATATGATAAATGTCCATCTCTACAAAGAGTAACTTATGCATTTGCAAAACACAAGTTGTGGAAATAAAGTTCAGAAACCTGTGGGATGGATTTCAATACCAATGTAGAAACACATTTGACTGCAGTTGCAGGTGTTTTGAGAAACGTTTGTCTAAACCAGCATTAAGCATTGAGACACTGGAATATCTGCCCATTCCTGTTTTCTAAATAGCTCAAACTCACCATAGATTCACAATTTGAGTCCAGACTTTGACTAGACCATTCTAACACATGAATGCGCTCTTCGTCATGCCTCTGACTGTATTTCTGGAGTCATTGTTAAGCTGGAAGGTGAGCAGTATGGTGCTGCAACCACCATGTTTTACTGCAGTGTGTTCAAGGTGATCTGATGTGTTACTGTTCTACATACTAGTATTTAGTATGTACGATGTTCTGCTCTTCCACTCTTCCATAATAGTCAGATTTGTTCTCCTACATGAACTGTGGATCTCTGCAGCTCCTCCAGAGCAACCATGGGCCTTTTGGCTGTTTCTTTGATTTATAGTCATGGCTTGTTTTGTCTGTTCAGGTGGATATTCATCTCTTGGAAGGATTGCAGATGTAGCACTTTCTTTCTATTTACAGGAATCCATCAGATGTTCAAACTTGAGATGTTAAACTTTTTTAACTTCTCCTCAACTTTCTCTCTAATTCGGCTGCTTTTGCGCTAATGTTCTCTAAAAAAAAACCTCCGAGGCCTTTAATGAACAGCTGCATTTCTATGCAGTGTAATTTAGACATAAACTGATAAATTGAATTCCTAATGTACTAAATTATTTTATTCTTTTACTTAAGAGGGTTAGGTTTTATTCAGAGATGTCAAAGTAAAAGGTGCTGCATAAAAAAATTAACAATGTTTTCCTTTTACATACAAACATCCAGAATTTCATTCTTGTAATGAAACAAAATGTTTTTGAATTCTTGTGTTAGGCAATGTTTGTGCGTCACAATTGGTCTAAAAGTATTAAATGCTTCTTATAGTTCTTAAAGACTTGCACTTTCAACTCTGCAATGGAATATGAAATCTTCAAGGATTTCATATTTTACACTTTAATGTTGTAGCAATATCTATAATGTGAAAAAGTAATCAGATCATACAAGTATCATAAAGAGAATATAGTTTGAAAATTAAAGAGCTGCAAGATGCATCAAAGTTTAAACAACTTTGATGCAAAGAATGAAATGTAAAGAATGAAAGAGCATTTCAATACTTGGATTTCAGTACATTTTTTATATTAATTTAAAAACAGACTAACTAAACTAAATAAATACAGAAATACTTTTAGAATAAAACAATTACATAATTTGTTTTCATATAAATCATACAATATATTAAATACTGAGAAGAGGATCAAAAGTAGCAGACATGGAAGGGAAAAACCTCCATCAAAAGTTACAGGAAAATTACAGATATGCAAGTAAAAAGCTGGTATTGATATTTTCAACTTGCCTGGTGGCTAAATGTGCTGAACTTGTTTTTATCTGCAGACCCCCTGCGGTGCGTTACGTCTGCTGGCAGCCCATCCACAACATCCATTTCTGCGTCTTTCTGCTTCTCTCCATTCAGGCTGTCTTGTCTTTGCACCATCTCCTTCATTACTGACTCAAACTCCCCGTTGTTTACATACGGCATTTTTGTGGACAGGCTGAAGAAAGGCGCACAGCGTTACTTATTGACAGACTGTGGTGTTTAAAGGCTGCAGATATTTCATTAACTTATGAAAGAATGATGGTGGGTCGACGTGTGGTTTGTTACAGTTCTGGTATGTCTGCTTCTACGTAGACATACGAAGGCTTCAAATTTCAGAGCAAATGGAAACAGATGGTAGCATTAAAACTTCTAATAAAAGATAACTGGTTTATTTTAATATATGTTCACAAACATGCCGGAAACTATACAATTTTAATCTTTACATCGCTTGACTAGATAAGTTTACTATTTCAATATTTAAAACAAAAATTATAGACCAAGTTACTTATAAAAATCTCTATTTACAGTAAATACAGTAGATGAGAAAATGATTACATTTAGCTAAGAAGTGCATCTTTTTAGATTGCTCATCTTTTGATTCCAAATTTTCTCCTCATTGCTTCTTTGGGATCCCCTTAAACAAAAGATATTGTTTTAAACAGTGTTATCTTCATACTTTTAATAGATTCAGCCAAAGAAGAAGCCACTGGAATCAAAAGATCCTGTTTAAAATGGATCCTGTACCAAGTCGTCTGTCACGTGTAAAAACACTTTTAGTTCCTCCTGTGGGTTTATAAGCTTTTTATGTCTGATTAAAAATAAATAGTCAAAAATACATTTTGCATAATGCTGAATATACTAATGCAGAATCTTTGCTCTGATGTTTTGGCTTTACTTTGTGACTGTTGAGTTTCCTCTTGAGGAACACAGTCAGACATTTGAGTCTGATTTTGTTGCTACTTTGTGCACCATCCACACAGAGACACCATATTACTCAACTGAATCTGTTTACAACTTTCTGTTAAAAAGCCACATGTGATCGTCACGTCACATATTAAACAACACGACTGTTCTGTTTTATTCACAATAGCACCGTCTAATGCCTGAGCTAGTCTGCAGTTCCCACGGCGAACGCAGGTTCATATAAGACATGACTTGACAAGGCGTGAAATTATTCAGCTAGTTTAGTCTAAATGCTTTGAGATGAAACTTCAAGGCTTGGCTTTGGCAAATTGGTGATGTGACTCAGCCAGAAAACCTTCAAGAAATCTGGAACATATGTACTAGTTTTTTTTATAGACCAATAAAGTAGCTGTTTTGGCAAATGCTGATTCATTTCTCATGAACACAGACAGATCCTACAGGATATCTGTTTAAAACTTCATGTTTAATAAGCTACAGTTGTAAGGAAAACCACTGTGGGTGCAGCTATGATTGTAAGTAAATGTCTGATGAACATTGGCTTGTGATGCTTTGGGGGCAAATTGCTCTCTAATTTGAGCGTTAGTGTATAAATATGAGTACAGTTTGGTTAATAAGCCTGTGAAACAGCTTTGGTTATGACTAGAACTGCCTTATATGAATTGAAATAATGTACCTCTCAATGAAAAACATTTTTAGGGATACATATTGTATCCTGTAATTTTCTGGAAACCAGCAAAAATAATGGGATTAAAATGTTAAAAGTACATTTTTCTGTCTGATGGTAGAATTACATGTAAAACAAAGCAGATAACGTTGGAACATGAAAACAGAAGTAGGGCACAGAGATAACAATCTGTCCTAGAAAGAGAGGAAATAACTCACACAATGTTTTGCATCTCCAACCAAGTAAGCCTTTTTTAAAATCAGCAATTAAAATCATATCCAATCTGTTATAAAAGATGTCCAGACTTTTATAACTGGACATCAGGAAATCCAGATCCAGTTCCACAGTGAGGCATTTTCTTTAGCTCACTGTATTTTAGTAAACTATTTCTGCAAAATAAATGCTGTTTATAACAAGGAAACTCAATACAACAAATCACAAATAAGACAAATAATACTTTTCAAACAAGGTGCTCTGGTTGTGATTTTTGTACAGCGTGAGAAATAAAGAGACTCTTACAAGAAGACATAATGGAGACACGTACACCGCACTAATCAGCTGCTGCTATGCTGTCAAACTTAAAGTGATCGACGCAAAGGTATTATGAGCAGCTGCAGCAACCTGGTGGCTGTCAAACTCTTTGAAAACATCAGGAATATGTCGCTACTGTAGATTTGTGGGTTTAAGTCATTAATAAAGGTCCATTAATGCAGGATTGTTGAGTTTTTTAAAGTCTCTGAAAACAATTTGCCAAATCCAGAAGATGAGTTATGGTTTCTAGACTAAAACACCAACAGGACTGTGTTTAATATAAAGAAAATAACCGTACAAGGATCCTTTTTGAAACCATTTTCTTCTAATAAACAAAGAAATCTAAATTTTTACCTGGACTTGGTTGGATCCATTTTGCTTCACGCAGTCATCTTTGGTTTCTGTCGTTTTTCTCCTCCTCTCATGTCTCTGTGGCCCGATCAGTCCCTCCCTTTCACCTGCGCGCTGGCCGTCAGCAACTGGCCCAACGGGAACAACTGGATTTCTGCAGCCAACAAATCAGTGCTCAGGTCTGGTTAATGTGTCGCAGGTAGAGTGCTTAGGTGGGGCCTAATTTGTTTGACGATGATCAATTGCCGTTTCATGTCAAAGAGAGTTTCTTCTCAGTCAAATCATTAAAAAACAAACTGTAGAGGATGTTTACCATGTTTTAAAAAAGAGGAATTTTGCTGCAAGAATGTAGAAACAGGAAGAGGAAAAATAAAAAAATCACAATCTGTCATGAAGGACAAAAATCTTTTAGTTATATCTATTACGGTTAAATATGTGACCAAGTGTTAAAGTTCTCATGCTGGAATGCAAATTGGCTGAAAGCCTGCAGTTAAATACACATCCTCAAATATTTTCTTCCCCTTTCCCCCCACCCGACACCGCACGCACCCTCAGATGAGTCTCAAACACAACTCAGACATGCAAAAAATTCACAACACCTTTATTCAAAACCCTAACATATTATACAGAATCAAGCAACATAAAAGTGCTTTTAGAGTTACACTTCTTCCATCCCAAGCTCTTCTCCAAGGATGAATATAAAAACTGAAACAAACTTGAGACAAGGCGTGCCACGGATAATGCTCGCATGATTGGGGCTTAGAAGAATGCTACTGAGGTGGTGAAAAGCCTGCAATACACAGCAGTGTTGTTCTACGCTTAGGAGGAACAAAACACTTCCCTGGCTTCATTGTTTCCAACAAAGCAGATCTGGCTTTTTCATTTTTTTCTAGTCCTGCACAACAGGGAACTGCTATGAAAATATGACAAGTTTTGATCTGACCAGACCACATTTTATCTGCATGTCTAAGTTCATTTACTACAGTGAAAAGATTAACTACTTATAAAATATTTAGCTTAGCAGACCTCAGTAAAATGACACAGCAATTACAATCTATTAAACTCTTAATAACAAAAATAATAAAGCTTTGTAAAGAAAAAATGCTTTATATATTTCAGAGATATAAAACTTCTCTACTGTGGAACTCTTGCATAAGAGACCAACAATATAATCACAATAAAACAAGTGCAGACCTAGTTGAATCCATTTTTTGTAAAATGTGTTTAAAATAAAAGTTGTTTATCTTCTGAACAAGCACCAATCAAAAGGTTTTTATAATAAAGTAAGAGATGCACCAATCAATAGCTTGAGATCAAAACTGTATATTTCTTTGATCAGTTCTAATCAAACATTTCCTAATCATCATATGCATCAGGACAAAAAACTCCAAAACTTTTCAGTCTTTAAATGCATCATTAACTTTGAAGCATAAATAAAAAAGATAATTGAATAATGTGATTTTTTTTTTGTTTCAAAACTAAAGCATCTTCGGCAGATTTTTTTCTCTTTTATGAGTCTTAATATTTTAGAAAAAAGGAATCTGAATCAGAGCGTGAACCAGAAAAAAGCCTGACTGGTGCATCTCTAAATAAAATCTAAATGTACAAGTTTTATTGACCAACTCAAAGACACTTTTTTTCTTTTTTTAAAGCCTTTGTTAATAAATATTTTGTGTCAAATTCCTGTTTCTACTTCAGGTTCGTCGGCTGAATTGTCTACCTGCACAACATGCGCAGGAACAATATTTCAAAAAGTAGTTAGAAAGGTGCAAAACTAACATAAACTCAGAATTGATCCCATTTAAATCCTCAAATAATCAAAACCTGGTCACTTTAAATGAAACCTCAGACATAACATCACTCTACCACCAAAGTGTTGATTATCAGTCTTCTCTGCCAACTCTCTCCTGCACTAACGCAATAAAACCTGTTAAACTTGTAGATTTCTAAGGTAACTAAAAAAATTATTATGGATATGTTTTCAGTTTGAAACAAAACTTAATGGATTTTGTTCTGCTTCAATTAAAAAAATACACAAGGAGTCTCAAAAGCTTGAAATATTGAATGAAATGAATATTTCTTGATTTTGTTCTACAGTGGCAAAAGTAAGTCAATAGATGAGAAGATAACCACAGTTTTCAAGACCTATAAAATCTTACCGCAAGCCAAGAAAACCACAAATTTGTTTTTTCTGATTCATTTAAAGTCAGATATTTTACTTTTTCGTTTACTTGAACCTCTGTTGGTTCAACTTTTCTTGGCTGCATAAAATGCTCAGAAATAAATTATCTTGAACTTGCAGCCAGATTCTGGATGATCAGGGCATAAAACCTGAATTTTATATAAATGAGGATCATGTTAGTTGTAACTGAGTGGAGTCAGTCTCAACATTTTGTTACTGTAAAGTTTTGTTACAGTAAGTACATTAAATCTTCACAACTGATGAAGGGAATCTGTGCTGCACTTCTCATCTACATCTCAGTAAATATAAAATCATTCACATTAAAAACAGTTCTTGATAAAGCTGCAATTGTTTGGTCCATTTGCTTGAGTCCCGTTTGATTCTTTGCTGGCACGGTGAACGGTGTGGAGGATCCGAGGAAAAGTCTTGCAGGTGAAATAAAACTGCAGCTTTGGTTTTAGCACCGTGTCCACTTTAATCCACCTTCTGCAGGGTCTCTATGTGAACAATACTTGGTTCTGTAAGCTTTTTTTTTTTTAATCCAGGTTGGTGGAGATTACATCACTGAATGGCATACTTTGTCTCCAGTTCCTCGGCTGCTTGGCCCAGGTGAAGCTGTCTCAGTTTGCTTAAGAGCTCCTCCAAAACCTGCCGGTGTATAGTTTCACCCTTTCCCTCTTTGACTGTCCGCGGCGCCCTCTGGACCCAGACCCGCAGCATCTGGTAGTGAGCCTCCCGGCAGTACCTGTTGTCCATCTCTGCTTGCTCGATCTCTGTGTCCGTTACACCGAGAGAGCGGACCAGCTGCTTCATCTGCTGCAAGGGAACCAGATCCAGTACTGAGTAGATGAAGTCGGGGACTGCAGAACCGGGGGAAAAGATAATGAGTCAGCACAGTTGTTTTGTTTTTTTTTTCTTTCAGTTCTTTTATGAGTTGAAGTCAGCTGATGTAGTAATAGACTTACTCATTGGGACACAGTCGGGCAGCTTGGATAACTCCTGCTCACCGAAAGAGGTTTCAACAGCATCCTTCAGACTGGTTTCCACTGAAGGCTCAGTAATAGTCACCAGGAAATCCTGGCAGACAAGAAAACAAGCATTACTAATCATATACGCACATAAAGCTAAACAAAGTAGCTGCACACAGGACAGTCAGGATACCTTGCTTTGCTCCGTTTGCGGGACACATGATTTGGAGGACAGACTCAGCATCTTTTTATGGAATGACCGCTTTGTGACTATGAAGGTGATTAAAATCCCCAAAACCAGCAAAACAACCACAGCTGCAAATCCGATGATCAAATTCACGAACTGTGGATGATGATGGGCAGGACCTTTGGAAAGAGCCAGAGATTATTCGTTAAATACATAACATATTTTACTTTGTTTTATCTGATTACTGAATTCTTCTTTAAATTGCTGAATACAATTAGATCTTTTATGGATTTTTAACGTCATTAATACTCTTGTGAATGTACTAATATCCACAGAACTGTTTATATTTAAGTGCACTTGTGAAGATAAAGGAAAACGATTCACTCGGCATTGAATTACAAATATAAATCTTAAAGATGCAATGTATATTTATTTATCTTATTTTAATTTCAGCGGCTTGGCACATTCAGAGACTGAAATATTTGTTCATTCTTCTTAGCAAAACATTTCAACCCCAGAGAGATTTGATGAACAGCCTCTGTAATCAAGTTATGCCACAGATCTCTTACTTTAACTAGGTCAAACTAACACGCAAATACGCACTGATTATGTTCCTGCTTTTAGGTGAAACTCCACTTTTCCAGGTTTTCTTTCAAGATAGCAGTATAATTAGCTTATGGATGTTTCTACCACCTCTGACCAGCATCCTGTTTCCTATAGAGAAAAACATCTTCACAGCATAATACTGCCACCGCCATGCCACAGCCATTAGACTCTCTCAGCAGTGGCTTTCATCTTGTCTCTCTTCTTGATTTGTTGAGCGCATGGTGAATAGTTGTCCTGTCAACAAATTCTCTCACCTGAACTGTGAATCTCTGCAGCTTCTCCAGAGCTACTATTGGCTACTTCTCTCATTTTTAGTCTTAGTGCTTGGTCTAAGACTCAAACTGCACACAATTGGTTGCCTTAGCTTTATTTAGGGAAATCAGAGAAGGGGCTGTATAGATGTAAATGCATACCTGTTTTTTTTAGCTCAATTTAAAAAAAAGGAAAACATCCAGTGCAATTTTGTGTTTTGTGTTCTCACAGTAAAATCCCAAAGAAACACAGTGAGGTTTGTGGCTATCATAAAAGAAAACACGTAAAGGTCAAGAGATGTGAATGCTTTGTGTTGTATAAGGTTACCAGTAGTGACGGTCTTTGTCACAGGTTTGCTGATGTTGACAGAAACTACAGAAAAGGAGAACTGCCCCACCACCAAACTACTGTCACAACTACTACCTCTACTGAGAATGCAGTTTTTCTTACAAAGGAGTCAAAACTAGGATATAACTTTTTCAAGAGTGGTTTTCTGGAAATTTTTCAAACTTTAAAAGCCAGAAGTTAAAAAGGAGAAGAAAACGTGACTCAGTGTGAAGTTTGGAAACTCTGCTGCTCTTAGTGGGACGGTGTAGTTGTTGTCAGTGACTGTGTTAGCGCTTACCTTTTGTCACCACAGGAGTTGTACAGTGTTGTGCGCAGTTCAGAGTACAACTGTGAAGAACAAAGAGGATGTTTGAGGACACGGAGGGGAAGTAGCACATCTTCATAGGAAGTGATTAACATAAAAGCTGACTTGCTTTTACAGCGTCCGCTCTGTAACTCTGCATGTACTCTTTGAAATATGCCATCAGGCATAAATGAACGCCAAATAAAGCTCTATCAGCTTGGCAGGAAATGGACAGAAAACATCTGTAGAGCTCATGAAGTTAAATTCCCTGAATGCGATTTGAGTTCTGCTTAGACATTTTATTCCATTATTAACATAAAACCTCCAAAGAAACAGTGAATGTAACACTTCATATTTTTATCAGCTGTTTATGTTTTCAAATATCTGTTTTTGTTTGGTTATTTTTCTAATTTCCATTTAAAAACCAAGGTCTTTTTAAGGGCTTGAAAAATGCCAGTGAGCAACTTTCAGTGTGTCATAACTTCTCCTATATTGCCAACAAATGGAAATGTTAAACAAAGTCAGACGTGAGATGCAAGTTTCAATTCTACAAAACAACTTCCCCAAATGAACGTGTTCACAAAAAAAAAAAAAATCCCATCAGAAGCAGAGAGATGGGAACGAAGAGCGCTAACGTAAAGCATGGCTGACTTACCGGGTGCAGAGCTCACACTTGCCCTTCTCTCTGAAAAAGTTCTCCTTGCAATCACACACGGTGTCTGATTCAGGTGTACCTGTGCAACACAAGCATTTATTTAAAAAGGCTTAAGGTAAAAGCCTCAACTGAGTGAAAGATTAATTTATAATTCAATAAGATGTTAAGACTCACATGGCTGTATTTCCACCTCATTAGCTCCACATTTTTTACATTTGACACAGTCGTATGTTTCTGAATCAATGTTATGTTTATAGTAGCCTTTTTTGCATTGACACTTAGTGTTACTATGTCTTTCACATGGTGAAACCTCATATTCATTCTTTGAGTCTGTAAAAAAGCAAACATGATTGAAATGAGAGTCAATTTAATTACTGCTGAACACAATTCACACGCGTCGTATTAGAAAAAGCTAATGTTGCTTTACCTTTACACCTTTTGCACCTTCTGCAGGTAGGGCTGTAGTTTATCTGGTCTGAGAATTCATCCTCACCACAACGTGTGCAGTTACTCATTTTATTGGCAGTACATTTTTCTACCAGTTTAAAGCCTGAAAAAAAAACAAGTCTAGTTAAAAACCCTAAAATGACACTATAAGATTATTTCTTTATTTGCTGAATCATCACAAGGTTACTGTACCAGGATGGCATTTGTTGCAACATATTCCATCATTTTCATAGAACCAGGGTTCACATTGCATCTCTATTGTCAACACACCACTGCTCATTAGCTAAAACAAAGAACACATAACAAGCATAAATTTGCAAACAGTCATTTTCACAAAAGTGTAACTTTTTATGTTTTATGAACTTGGAGCCGTTCTCACCATTAGGAGCAGGAAGGTGAATGTACGTCTTCCTTGGTTTCCTATTCCCTCCATATTTCTATGGATTTAATTCAATCCATCTGAGACCACCTGAAAGAAAACAGTCTGTGAACGACACCTTCAATACAAACTGTGTTTTATGCTTGTAAAGAATTACAGAAAAGCCTTTTGCTCTGGGAAATGTCACTGGAATATTTTACATTACCAGGAATCAATACAAAAACATCTGTGTTTTTATATAAACCACATCAAAAGTCTCTCTTAGTGCCTCGGATTGAACTCATGATCTGCTTTTAATTCGTGTTGCTTTTTTCATATGTGCTTGTATGCTGAGTGGGAAAATGTCTGGCAACCATCAACCCTCCAGAATCACATTCTTCCTACAAACATTCACTCCCCCACTCACTGTTACAAGCTGCCTGGCCTCAGGCCAATTAATTGTTCAGAAAGCTTTTATCAGTGCAAACATATTACTGTACACTGAGAAATTTGCCTCATTTAAAACAGAAAAGCATAAATTGTTGACTGTATGGCATTTTGTATTTGGTTACATTTCTAAGACCTTGTTTTGAATCTTAAAATTACAACAAATTTTCAGGTGAGTCTGGTGAAAAATTATCCTGGTAGTTAAGGGGTAGTCTAAAAAGACTTTATTTTTATTTTTAAAAATAAATATAACTCTTTTGGCATCTTCACTTAGCATAAAGCCAGCATAGTTGGTTCTCTGTAGCAAAAGCTAAGAGTCCATGATGGTCACGCATACTTGAAGCAGAACATTTAAAACATTTCCAGAGTTTCTACCTGATAAAGACGATGTGAAAAACTATCAACTTAGTTCATATTTTTATTTTTAGCACCACATTGTTTCAAATAAACACTGTGTGCAACAGATTGTTGCTGCAGCACTCCAGGGTCCATTTTTCTTATTAATAATATTATTATAATCCACCTGTTGGTCACTGTAGATTTTGTTTCAATCAACTGAGACAATTTGGTTAGTTGTTGCACCATTTGATCTCAAGTGGATGTAGATATTAAGAACTGTGAAAAGTCCAAAAAGAGTCATTTCAGGGTAACTTGTGGATTAAAAGCCTTATGTACTCATTAATATACAGTATGTGTAGTTTTTATGTGGGATTAGTCAAAGAATCAGTTCAGTCTACTTGAAGTATTAATTATTATTTTCTCTAGAAACAGGAAAGACTCAGACCAAATCAAAGCTGATGACAAAACACTGGATCTGATAAGTCAGAGGTGTTTTTTTTTTATTGAAAATCAGGCACAACAAACTCAGAAGTCATAAAACAAATTCAATTTAAAGTTAACTTAATTATTATTTTTAACCACGTAATTGTTCATGCCATAAATTATCCGTAGATTTCTATTTACAATGTTTGTTTAAGAGACAAAACGTTTTACAGTAGATGTCACTTCTGCGCCAGTTTGGCAGCGTCACTTCCCTGTCGCGCCGCGCAAAGTTCATCATAAACTTTATCATAAAAACAACAGCAACTCCAAAATCTTTCAGACGGCCGCATTAAAACTACTCGCACAACCGCGAACTCCGCTGGGAATATCTAAAATGTAAGAATTATAACTGTTTTCCCTATGGTTTCGGTTCGGGTACCACATTACGCCCACTGCACCTTCACGATATGAATCGCTGTTCCCACAAACGTGCAGAAATATTTTACTGACTTACCTGAGGAACTTTAGACAGAGCGAAGGGTCCCTCGGTGCTTTTCCTCCACACATCAGAGATCAGGGCTTGTTTTTCTTTTAAAAATCCAGTTTTCTGCTCTTTAACCCTCAGCACTATCAGAGCTGCTGCTTGGCTCGCTGCTGAGGATGGAGGCGTGTTTAACCGGGAAATGGCTGCGCGACGAACGTATTTCAAGGAATAGTGAGACAGTTTGGCAAGAAGGCCAAAAAAAAAAAAAAAAAAAAAAACACGAGTCTATCTGAAGAGTGGCTACATGGTGGTTGCGCAACATGCACTGAGCTTCTGCTGTCAGATAATCCCATGACTAAAATAGGAATATAAATGAAAAAAAAAAAGATAACGATCACAAAATCTTCCAGGGTATTCTCTCTAAATGTTGTACCCTTTTGTATTTTGACTGCGTCACAAATGTCAGTCAAAAATCCCAGGGCAAAATAAACATACAGATATTTGGATGTGGCCAAAAATAAAATTATAATTTATTTTAACAAGTGATATGTTTTAATAACTTACATCAAATATTATTGCTTTAAGTATTGACGATGGCTCACAATAAATTAATCAAATTGAGTTCAGAAAATGTTAATGTATTGCTTGATAATTGATTTCATGTTTTTTTATTTATTTATGAAAATCACTTTTAACTTATTTGTTGCTGAAATGTGCTACACATTGACTTGGCATAAGATCAATGCGAACTAAAAAGTATTTAGCAGTTTAAAACTGTGATGTTACGGGCTTGTTGTGACCTGTACACAACAACAACTAGGTTGTTGTGTACAGGTGCCGGCTGACACCAATCATGATATTGCACAAGCAGGAGCGGTAACTGCAGTTCTCAAAGGATTGTGAAATACAGCTGATTCAAAGGTTTAAAAGGTGATTCACAAATGGTACCTGCGGGTGGAGTCGATTCTGAAGAACCACCACACAGACCTGTTAAAGTGCAGAGTCAGAGACGCTGTCAGATTCATCTTACACTCTGGACGAAGGAGAAAAAGGACCTGATTGCTTAATAGTTAATCAAAAACCTCCTCTAAAATGATGGTGAATTTGACATTTTCTTTGGAAATCAAGATCTTGGAGACTGGAGAAAGATGAGGAGAGGAACTGAATTGAGCAACTACGCCCTCTACTGGTGGTGGTTTAACATGACCTCATTATTTGAGGTCACAGTCAGACCTCAAATAATGCAAAGAAAACAAGTTCATGTTCGTTTAGAAATGGGCACAACACAAATGTTTTAACTCAGGAAGAGTTCAGAAATCGACATTTGGTGGAATAAGCAGGAGGTTTTCAGTGCCATGGGCTCTTCATTTTTTTTCCAGAGCTGTACTTAACACAACACACAATTATCATTTAGGGAAATCTGATGCTACATGCCACACAAAACAAGTTGAATGTCACAATTAAAGAAACCTGGACCTTCTTACCACCTTAGAAAATGAACGTTTCCATGCCATTCTGCATTGATGCAGTAACTAATGAAAAGGAGCAACAACCAAGCAGTGACTGCTGTAAAGTACATGTAATTCCTCTTGAAACTTCTGCATTAAACAACATTGTTTTCAGTAATTTTGGGGGTTTCCATTCACTTTAAACTGCAATTATTAAAGTAACAGAATTCCACACTTAAAATATATGATTCCGCATATAATTAATAAGTTTCATTTTATTGTGATATGATGAAACAATGAGGTTCTCATTTTTTAAGTGTGACCTCTGCAACTCAGAATTTTAATTATGCTTTAAATGTACTGGACAAAATCTATTGCTCTCAACTTCTTGGTGAAATAAAGTTTCACCATCATGTGAAGTACATTCAAATTTATGAATTTGAATGTACCAAACAAACAATTGGTTTGTTTGGCATATATTTCTTTGATCTTTGCTTATGTATTTTATTTACCTTGCACAGCACAGGTGCTGTGCAAGGTAAATAAACCTTGCACAGCAAAGAAATGTCAGCCACACCCTTACCTCTTTATAAATGACGAAAGCAGAACTAAACTAAAATTACATTTTGACTTTTGATTTTTGTTTGCCACTCCAGAATCAGTGTGAAAACCTCCTGGAGATGTCTACGGCTACATTTGGCAGATAAATCTTTTAACAAGAACTGGATGCAGATGAATCATAACATTTTCCACTATAGAGACCATTGCCGGTAAACTTTGCACTACTTAGCTTCTACACATCCACCAACATCTGTAATGAGAGGTTTATAAGCCACACCCAGCAATACAACTCAGCTCTGTATAATTGTCTGTGCACTTTTCTTTCTGACAGCAAAATGAAACCATGCATTACCTTTTTCAGTCCTCAGAATTTTATGACTTTTATTTTGGCTTACACAAACATGAGATTCGGACTTCCAGTTCTAATTTTAGTGTCTTTCGATGTTTGTGGATATTAGTTAAGCTATTTCTCCTGCATAAAAATAACAGTTGAGGAGTCTATGTAACATTTATAGAATCCACTTTCACAATGAGTTACTGCTAAGTGGATACAAAGTCTAAATCCATCCCACATTCTGAGTATTTTTATTCCTTCCTCTCATGCATGCAAGTTTTATAAAAGTAAAAAGAAATTTACTGACCTCCTGTGGCCAATTTGGGTAAAACATGTTACTCAATAGACCATCTTACTCGATTAATTTATTCAGTGGAAAAAGTGAAAAAGAGGAAATATTGTAAAAAAAAAAAAAAGTGTAAAAATAGTGGTTTCTTTCAACATTCTGAAGAAATCTCAAAAATGGTCACTCCAAGAGAACCAAAATAAAATTAAAATTATGTATTTTAAACTTAGTTCATGTGATTTAACTAAATATCAAATGTTTGTCCACATCTTTTATTTCACCAGCCAATACAAAATGAGTTGGTGAAGGTTCAAAGTGCAGCGATGTGTCGCTGAGCCGTACAAATTGTGAGTATTTTTAATCAGAGTAAACTTTCCTGACAGGACACTTTTTACACGGGAGGGAAAAATTAAAGATCATTCAACCGAGAAAAATAGAATGCTTCATCAGAAAAACCACATCCTTCCTTAGCAAAGAAAGAAAGGCCTCTTCGTCTCAGCTCTTCCTCTAACTGGTTTCAGGTTAAGCTCTTATTAGCATTCAGGCACGGTGCATGCAGCGTAAAAATACAGTGCTTAGTTTCCCACACAGTCACACTTCAAGAAAGCTGTGGGGACTGGCGTAAAACTGTGGCTTTTGATTGACTGTTTACTTTATTACAGAAATGTCAACATGTTCCTGGCACAATGTTAAATACTGTTCAAAAGTACAAATCCTTACGGTCAAGCAGTTGGTAATAGTGAAACCTCTAGATTAGTACGAGCTGGTTAGCTCCCAGTCACTTCAGAGCAGTTTAATGCTCAGTCATCGCCGATCCACTCATCTGCGTACTCTGATTGAATGTTACTGTTGGTTTAGAGCCGCAGAGCCCCCAAGGCAGCCCCTTTAAAACTTTCTGGGCCACAGTTATGGTTGAAAGAAGGTCACGTTTGATGGCCTGGCTTCTGTGAAAAATTAGCTCATCCATGCCTTCCTCTTATCAGTTTGATGATGCTGATAGTTGGCACCCGCTTGTGCCCAAAAAAGACTCTCGCAGATCCAACTAAGACGCAGCTGCCAGGCCTGGTTTTCGGAAAGGGTGTGAACAGAGTAGAGAATCTGTTGCCGACCACTGCTCACCTCTAGAAGTTCTCACACCTACAACAAGTTGCCCCGTCATTGAAGGAAGTTTGGTGGTAACCATGTGATCTTTTCACTCTGGATCTGATTTTTCTAACTCACACTCATTTTCTGTTAGAGTTGGAGTCAGTTGATGGACTCGTTAAGAGAGAAGCTTGACTGAATCAAAAAGCGATAGCAGTCTCAAGAGCAGAGACTCAAAATGCAATAACGACAATGTAGGATTCAAGAGAATGAGATCAGAAAAGATTTGGATTATTTAATCAAAAACTTCAAAATGGAGAAGCTTTATGAATGACAAACTGCATCTTAAACAAACTGCTATTAATGGAGAATAATTTCGACCAGACTTTAGTCTGCTAAACATAAAACTTTGTTTATTATGTACCTGTTATAAATTTCCAACCCTCTGATAATTATATCACATCTTGCCATATGGCAACCATAAACTTTAATATATTCAAATCATATTTTGTGTGGCTAACTAACACAAAGTATGTCAGAGTTGTGAAGTGGAAGGAAAATAATAATGCTTTTCAAAGAGTTTTACAAATACTAATCTGAAAAGCATGTCTAAGTTTAAGACATACACATCTTTTCTACAGTTTCGGTGTGAAGAAACTGCATCTGAGCCAAAATCCCAGCTGTATTGATCATCAAATGAATACAGATAAACTAATAACCTTTACATAAACTTTCTGTAAATGTCTTTCACTTAGATGAATCCTTCCTCCAGCAGAGGGCCCAGTCTGTGCATAGTTCTCAGTCCTGCCAGAAGAAGCAGCATTTATGTTTCTGCCCTTCAAGCTGCTGCAGTATTTAGTCACTCACTACACTGATAAGTCACTGACACGTCAATCCTAGACCGTTTTTATCGGAACAGAGAGGGGAACGCTCTAAAACAACTGAATTTATTGAATCCTTCCGGTTCCAGTATTTTATGTTTTCTCCTACGTATTATGATGTTTCTAAGTTATTTAAGTGCCCAAAGGTCTGTATTATCATTATTATTATTATTGTTTTTATTATTGTTTTTATATATAGTGTTATAGTGTTATTGTTCAATAACACTTTTGAAGAAGCAAAAAGTTTAAAACGTTGATTAAATTGATGAACAGTTAAGCTTTTCTTTCCTTGTTGCTTTGGGAGGATTTGCCATAAATCTGTAAATGTCTCATAAATGATGGTCACACTTTGATTCTCAATATTTTTGATGGACGCCATGTGCAATATGAGTGAAATATGAAGAATTAAAATGTTGTAGGACTGCTGCTCAACACAACTACTGCACACTACAAAAGTATCAGCACCCTCCAGAGGTTTTCAAATGCCACCAATAAGGTTTACATGATTGATTGTTTGCTAGTTTATTTGGTTACTGAAACCCCTGCCATTAGAAATTTGCATATAAAGCATACCAGGATATTTAGCCACTGCAGAAACAGAATGATGCT